AAAAATTGGAACATGGACAAATCCAAACGGAAAATTGCACACAAGATTGTTCGAAAAGTGTTGGCGCATTAATGATTGAATATGCAATTTATCAATTCGAATCGAGCCTGAGACATGTTGGCTCCTACCTACCGAATTTTATGACAAATGATCTATTAAAAATCCCAAGCCAAGCTACAATGTAATTGCATGCACAAAACACAAAAATTCAGATCAAATGTCAACATCGGCTGGGAGACTCGGAGAGACGGTGAACCACACGCGTCAAATCCGATCGCATCAAAACCTACAGCAGTGTCGACGGTATACGCATTCATGATAAATTGCGGCTTTCAGATATAATTACAGTTTGACAAGATATAATTTTTGAAAAATAAATACCGCTATCGAATCCGCCTCACACATACACAACCACAATCACATCGAATACACGAGAATTTATGAAAGTAATCGCTAGAAATGTATGATCACCATCACGACGGGACTATCTATCTGAATCGCATTTCATTTCTTTGAACAAATTTTCCACCACATTTAATGCAATGTAATGCGATCGATTATCTTATTATAAGCAAATTGCTTGCTTAGAGAAAACAAAATCGAGCTCAATGAATAGCGTATTCGTTTAGAATATGAATCAATGGGAAAAAGTCAGTTTTAAATCATAGAGTACCAATAGACGAATGCTATTTATAATACCAAGATCTACTGTATGATTCAGTGTCAATTTCGATTGCACGAAACACTTTAATTCCGACTGTGTATTTCAGTACAATTAATAAAAAGCAAATGGAGAATAAAACAAAATTGGCTGAATAGGCACAATTCAAAATGCGAAAAACTAAACGTTATTTTATTCAAGGTTTGCCAAGGTTGACGGGTCGGTACGACCACTGTGATTGTGTAAGTTTTCATCTGTAAGTGTCAAAATTTAATAAGCAATCAATACAGATACACAGATTTACAGATGTATACGCTCACAAACACGCTTGTATAATTATTATTTGTGCTAAATGCGGGGGTTGCGATAGAACATACAAATCAGTATATAGCGAAACCTGTCGGAATTTTCGATGAATAACAAATTATTATTACGGCTCATAACTTGAAAGATTCTTCTGAAATAGACAAAAAAAACACATTCATGTTTATTGATATTTAGCAAATTGTGCTGGTTGTGATTTGTTCGAAAAACGCTGATCGTTTCTTCTTTTTTCTCTGTAGAAACACGCCCTTTTGCGTTTTGTCTAACAACGAACTCAAACTTCATAAAAAAATATGGTTCTTAGCACAGTTTTTCGAGATTTTATGAGCAATTAAAATAACGACTCCAATCAATGTGAACGAATGTTAGTTGACTTTAACTTAAGATTGATGGCCACATCGAAACTTTGGCTACTTTTAAGGTAAATGAAAGACATCTCGCTTTAATTATGTCATTAGGAAATGCAGCAATAAACACAGAATTGATGACCAATCGTTGCCGGTCGTAAATTCTTGATTTTTATAATACATAGCTAGTGCGCGGTTGAGAAATTGGTAGACGAGGTAGAGAGAGAAAAAAATCTTTTCTAGTGGCACTTTCTGTGTATATGCGCCACATTCAATGACAATGTAGCCCAGTGGTCAGTTGCTAGTTGTTGTTGTGATGCGGGGGAAGCAGAAGGAGAAAAAATCGGATGATAAGTGTAAAATCGCATTAAGATGAATTCATGGAATGGAACAAGGAAAAACGGTGCTTGTAAAATGAAAATAAATTAAGTCGAAAATCTGCATGAATGACGCGAACAGAATCGGCCTTATGATATTCATTCACTTGAACTGTGTGCTTTGCCTAGAATTTTTTTTTCTGCGATGGAACGGCTTAATTTTTTTTCAGTCCGTGACTACCGTTTTCAGCGCCGAGATACAATCTAAAGACCGAAAACAAAGCAGACCAATTGTTAAGTAATAATGACATGCGAAGCATAAATTTAATTTTCAGCAAAAATATGAACGAGAGGCCAACAGCCGATGTGATTGGTTGTCTCTCATGCGAAAGATACAAACGCTCCATTTAGCTGCACATGTGTTTTGAATTGTGTATATTGATGCTTAATTGCGCATTGGGCCGAATCACTTACTGATCATTTTTACATTGGTGGCCGCATAGAGACGCGCAAACGAGCGTATTCACAATACAAATGACAAGCTCAATCACCGTCATATGCCCGAAGCAACTGAAACGTGAATCGTTCGAATCGTTCGCATGGTTTCCAATGCGAATCCGCAAAGTTTTGTGATGTTGATCGATTGCTTGAGCCGACGCTCGTACAACAGATGTTTACGTTTTCTTCGAAATACTACACTGCACACAACGCTTTTCTCAAGCTGAATAAATTTGGTTTGTAATCGAAACCTACGCGCCGAGCGCACAAAATTCACATTTGCTGCACACGGCTTACAACAGATCACAGCGACCATTTTCATATGTTTGTTGAAAGCATTAAGTGGAATCTTATGGTTAATTTTTTTCTCTTCTCTTCTCGCTAAATGAGGCTAAATGACTTGGTGGTTCGAAATCCAATCGTCTGCATGTACCACAAATCAATTGCAAATTTAAAATCGTTTTTAGTACCTTTTTTTGCTGTCGTACCTTTTCCATTTTGCTGTGAGCTCAAAGTGTCACTGGTTTTTGTTAAAAACACGGTTAAAATGAAGTAAAAGTAGCTTACTTAGCGGTCTGGCATTCATCACGATGTCATCCAATTAAGAGGAAAGTGGCTGATGTATTGATTGTTTGTGTCCATTTCATTTTCTTGCTCATTTCGACTCACAGCTTATTTGGACAGATTTATTTCGATTTTTAGGGCATTCGACTATTTTCATCGATTCTGATTTATTGAAACAATTAATAAGCGGGAGAATGGTTTGTGTGTTAGCATGAGCACAACGAAATCTGTTCATTTTTCAAACATTTGCTGGGTGTCAAAACAGATTACCGTCACACCAACACGTCACAAGCAATTATCTAGGCAATTTATTTTCTCAATCAAATCTCCTCCGTGAGTCAAACACGAGAGCTCCAATCAACACAGTGGAAACTCAATGGAAATGATGTGAACATCAGAAATCGAAATGAACACATATATCCAGTTTTAAGTAACAATATGACTGCGGTTGGCATTAATGCTTCTGCTGCTGATGCGGCTGCTGCTGATGTTTTGCACTTTTTAATGCTTAAACAGCTCCATTTGCGATAAGCATAAAATGTGGTATCAAAATGAGCGCATATAAAAAAAATTGATGTTCGTTGTTGTGTCTCTCATTTGCATTTGGAATTCCTTCTCGGCATCTCGTTCCTTCAAAGCCACGAGCTGAGTTTTTTCACCTTCAATTTAACGCTGATCAAATAATGCGTTTGCCTTGCGTGGGCATCTCATCAAGACGCACTCTTCCACAACAAAACTGGCACCAGTCGAAACAATTCCATCTTTTGTATTCACGCAATCTCAGCAACAATAATAAAGACGATAAACGCGCACACTCTCACACTCACTCATTTACACAACGGAATGAGTGTCTGGCCATCACTTTCGGATTGCGGGCGATAAATTCAAAAAAAAAACACGGCAGATAAGCCATTTTGTTTGTCAAATAATAACGGCACGCTTCGAAGCAAGGGCTTGTATCAAAGCCAATTTTTGCCAATCTTGATGAATTGGTTTTCTTTCGCTAACTTCAAAGAGAACTCTGTCATTTGTCAAAGACAATCCGCTGCTCATTTTCATGCATCGGTCCGTTTGGCGTTTGTGTGAGATAATGGAAAAATTCAAATGACGAGAAAACTCAACAACAGCGTCAACTCCAATTTGCATGCGGTTTTGAATTGCGCCTCGTAAAATGGCTAGTTTTATGAGTGGATCGTGTTTGTCGACGTGCACGAAAGAATGAGAAAAATGCTGACCGTAATGAATTACCGTAAATGGATTGTTGACAACTTTGACTGGCTGTGAGCGTGCGCGGTGCGCGCCCGCTCGCCAATGGAACTTTAATGAATGAATGAATGAGTCGAGTCATTGCTCAATTTCAAGCACCATTTGTCTTTCGGGTTTCTGTTTTGAATTTCCTTTCATGCCCATTTGAGATATAGAAAAAATGGCAGAAAAATACAACTGAAAACTGATTCCAGACAAAATTGACGATCGAATGGAGAGCGAGAAAAAAAAATTGTCAATTTTCAACTAACCGCACTTTAGTAGCTGGCTACGTTTTAATAATGCTTGCATAGATTTATAGCGACACTTTATTTCCAACAATAAAAATCGCTGTAAATATTAACCGCGCGTTCCATGTGTTTGCGCGCAGCAGCACAGAAAAAAGGAGGTGACAATCTTGCTATTTCCACATGACACTTCATTTATCTGGCGATTAGGCTTTTACGCCCAACTTTTACACACTGCTTTTTTAAATTAACTGAATTTAAAATCAAAACAGTACACAAAATGCGATTTTCAGCATTAGCGTCGTCGTCGTCGTCGTGTTTGTCATCGAAAATTCATGCACAGACTTAATGGAGTGTCGTGGAATATTTTTCGTATGAAAATTAATTGAGCCATTTGTTGCTAATTTAATTGATTAAAGACGCATTTGCGGCTCCATTCTGGTTGCGCGCTCGCGCCAGCCGAACGAACAATCTGAACTGTGTTTCTCAATAGGTTATATAAATAATCTATGTTTCTCGTTAAACAACTGTACACTGGGGCTAGCGTGTGTTTGTGTGTGTTAGCAAGAGTCGCATTTTTGGCCAATCGTAGCGACACAAACAATACGAAAATAATTTTGTGTTTGACATTTGCCACACATGAAAACCAGAAGAAAAAAACATCTGTCACCTTCGCGACCTGCGATCAGTTAACTCTCTGCGCTCGACTCGCATTTCAAACGAATGTCCAGAAACAAAAGAAAGACAGAACAGCTAGTATGTAGAAAAAAAATGAACCCATTTTTGGTTTACTTACGGATTCGCAGCGTTCATATTCCATGTTGCTTTGGTTGTTGGTAATCCAAAACTTCAACACCAAAAACCGTTTCTTACAACACGCTTCTTTTGTGAACCACCGAAACACAAAATGGTTACATTCACATTTTTTTCATGAAATAACACACAATCGCATTTCACTTCACCACAAATATTATCGAAACGAAGTGCACGGTTTTTACAAGCAGAACAGTTGGATTCATCGATGGTGGATCGATTTCGATTGGATCAAAATTAATACTTAATGCAAAAACTCTGCAAATGGTTAAAATGTCACATACACACAGCCACTTACAACTTCGGCAGGAATAAAATGCCAACCGTTTTTTCTTTCGTTTGTTATTGGCGACGATTGAAAGTATTTCTGCAAATTCTTTTTTTTGCACGTTGGGATTTTGTTATTTATACGATGAGTTTATCGTAACATTGCCACATTAATCGCCGAAAAATCTAAAGTGATAAGACTTCAGCTAGCTGAATTTAAAGCAGCGAGATAAGAAACACACAGCGTAAACACTATAAATAATTTTATAAATGAATCTCTTTCTCTCACACACAAAAACTCAAAATGGTTTTTTTTTTTATTTCAATTTCGCACTTCTGTAATGAAACATCGATTAGCGTTGATCAACGATGCCTTTGTTTGCTTACAAGCTGTTGTTATTCTTCTCACAAGAGACGAGAGAAAGAAGGGAAACAAAATTAAAATAAACTTTTTCGTGTTGCGATTCAAAAATGTGACCGAACCGAAGACTGCTTACGAACTGACAAAACGGAATATAATCTCATTAGTCGAATGCTCACTTTCGTATAACGGCGGTGTGCGATACGAGTGCACGATTGTGTATATAATGCGATCCATTATGAATTTGTTTATATTTTCTTTCAGTTACTCTCTGATGTTGTACGCTGTGCCGTTTTTTGTTGTTATTTCGTTTTTGCCGCTGCTGCTCTTTTCAGCATTGGGCTGTGTGTGCGAGACAAGAGTGCGCGCACACACAATCGGCAATGCAAAATGAAAAGAGACGAACGGTTGAGCGCAGAAAATAGCCCAAAACATGCAAGAGAAGAAGAAGAAATACACGTTACGGCTGTGCCGAAACACTAGAACGAATACGGCTGGCTGGCTGACTGGTGTGTGGTTGTGTGTTCAATTTGTCGAAAAAGACTCTCAAGAAGAAATGGTCGGCTCGGAACCAAACGATAATTATTTTATTAGTGGCAAATATAGTGTATGGGGGGAGAAAAAAAAGCAAATGACCTTTCTCTAGAAACTCAAGAACTGTCCATGTGAATGAGCGTTGGCAATGTACAATTGTGGTATTGGTGAAATGGCATTTGATGAGCTCAAGAAAAACCGCACAGCATTGAATAATTAAGCAGAAAGCTAGCACGAAAAAAAGCAGTGAGTTTCAAGCTAAGAGCATTAGTTTATGCATTGGCACAATTGCCGCGACAATACAGCAAACCTCTTAACTGTATTGGTCTTTTGTCGGGTTGTCTATTTTGGTTTCTTTTTATCTGCGCCATTGCAAAACGGCGTAGACTTTATACGCTGCAGCCGCTTGTTAGCTCGCTCGCTTGCATTCACCGCTCAATTGTATTCGATTTTGTGAAAGTTATCTAAAATGCTAAACACGAAAATAGTTACTTATGCATTTTACGATATAGAGTTTTGCCAGTGCAGCTCGTCCACTCACGTCTATGTGGCCCATTGCCCAGAATGCAATTGCATTGAGCAGCATACCACACTCATACCAGAAAAAACTGCATTCACTGCACATAAATCGACGGTGGCGCGAGCGACCGAACCGTCGAAATTTATGCAGTCCATCGAAGTCGAAATAGACGAATCGCTTCGACGATACTACAAAATGCATGAGTGAATAGAATGAAATGCGCGCTGTGCGCCAATAGAAAATTTCGAATGAAACGATTGTGAAAGAATTACATGAATAATATGTAATGCGGTGAAAGAGAGACATGAGCATCGAACCTGGTTCGGAAATAGAGACGCTTTTCTCTCTGATTCGGGCTGTTGTTGGCGGAAAAATTGAATCGCAAGAGCTCAACGACTTTTGCTTGCTGCGCGAGTTTTTTATTTTGTTTTGCTCAACAACAATCGAAACCCAATTTCGAAAGCGTCAACAACATACTTCTTTTCGATACTGTAACCGTTCTGTCATGCATTTTGCCGAGCAATTAAAAGCGATTTCAAGCGCACATAAGCACACCGAATGGATATGTGTGCGCGCCCAGAAGAAAGTCACCAGCCATCATTGCACAGTGCACACACGACGACCAATTGGTCGTAGGCAATAGACGGCGCAATATTGTTATATGTGTACAGCGTATAATTGCATACGCGGATGCACCGTTGCATAGATACGGCGAGTGAAAGAGGCGACGCGCGAGCACAAACAACGCAAAACACAATGCATTTATGAGGTCAAGGCAAATAATGTCTGACCTAATTCTATTCGCTCCCATTTGCTGCATAATTTTGACGAGATAAATCGGTGCTCTACGATGTGATCTGGGCAAGTCCTTGAAAAAATGCACTACAAATTTTTTTGAATCGATTATGAAGATAATTTTCACTTATTGTCGAGGTCATCACTCGAAATGTGCTCGCAATAAATAATGAAGAAAATTAGATACCCAGATACGAAATTTTCAAGCTATATGATACATTTACCCGGCATTCAAACAATGGATTCAAGAGAGAACAAACGATTGCAGTCAAAACTTACCCGTTCGTTGAGTCCGTTGTCATTTTTCCCTCGTTTCAGAGATGGCGCTCGGATGTGTGCACGCGGTTCACCACTGTTAAAATCCATGACGGCGTCTCCACTCAAGTATTGTTCGCATGCACAATGTCAACGAATGTGGTCTTTGGTTACTACTTAAAATAAGCGGCCGGAACTCAGATGCACGGGATGCCTCTCAAATTGGATGCAATTCGTTATTACCGCAATCCGATGCGAACATTTTTTCCATGCAATCACAAAATATCGATCCGTTTGGCAGCGTATTCGATGACAGCCGGGTGGGTGCTTTATTCAAATCAATTCACCGACGGATTGAAATATCAAATTCTCTGTCCACAATTCGTTCAGCATACAATAAATATTCCAGACGATACACAAATCACATTCACAATTTACACAATTCCTTCGAAATATCTACACTGCGATTGGGTTCACAGTTTAACTGTGGGCAATTCTTCAATCTCAAGATAAATATGATATTGATTTATTGCCACATTCTCTTTTTCACACCGTAAATTGTGCAATCTCTTCAATCTTTTTCTCACTCTCGAGTTATTCTGTCACATTAAGATTGTATTCTTTTCCCCGTTTTCTTTCACTTTTTCGTCGTGGAAAAAAAACTAACGGTTTCAATGGGGTTTTCTCCGGGAAACGAGATCGCTTAAAATCAAGTGATTTATCTTGAAAATCATTTGGAAACTTTAATTCGGAAATTTACGTATCAGCTTCATTAGAACCATTGAATTCATTAGATTCGCCGGCGCACTTTTTCTCGCTGTCTCTCTCTCTCTTTTTCGCTCTTTAGCTCGTGATTTCATTCACGTGTGCAACTTTTTTTCTATTCATTTGAACAATACACAAACGTCGCTTGTTTACCTAAACACAATTTTTACGATATTTCGACTTTTGACTACACAATAATTGTTATTATCACTAGCACTTGAATACACACGGTCGGCGACAGCGAGTATACGCATGTGTGTGTGTGTATGTTTCGCGCAAATGAGTTTTCGTAATTCTCGTTTTTATTATGTTTCTTTTTTTCCTTCACTTCGTTATGTGTTCCGCAAAAAAAACACACAATTCAAGATCAACACGGTATGCGCATTAGTTCGGGGATTTAGACGGTTGTGTGTACTCGCCACGCAGAGGCGCGAACAATGGCTCGACAAATCTCGTAATTTCGCAGCACACCCAGTGAACTGAAATTTCCCAAATCTGAAACGAAACACGAAGCACACATTTAATTTAATGCAAAAGAACAGTAGATAAAAAAGAGCTGAGAAAAGAAGGGAAAAAACAAAGCGAAATGAACAAAGCCAAAACGTGAAATAAACGTCAAGACTCTTGGGTATCTTTTTTATGGGGAAATGAAAAGTGTTGAGCGAGAAGAAGAAGGCTTAACCATTTGAGTGCGCTGACCTTTACCCAATTAAGGCACGACGAAGCTCTTTTTTTTTAATGTTTGGCGTCTAATTTTTTTTATCTGATTCATAGAAATAAAAGCTTTCTTCGAATCATTGAATGGAACGTCTTTGCAAGAAACTAAAAAAAACACAATTGATTAATTTGTTCTCTGTCACGATTTGATCAACAATAACATCAGCGTCAACTAATTGATGCCAAAAACGAAATGCATATCAAATGAGCGCATGTTGTGCGAATTGACACAATAAGCATTCTATTCGCATCTTTCATCTTATTTCTGAGACGCTTTATTTTGCCAGATGGCTGAACAGCACAGCTATGAATAGTATGATTACGATCGTTTTATTGTTTTCGTTTAAAAAAAATCCATCGATAAATGAATATTGTCTAAATGTATATAAAAATGTACAACATTTGCGGCGTGTAATAACAAATATTTAATTGTGTCGTCGGCTAACACACCAATTTTCGTCATTCAATGCGAAAACTTTCGCGTGCGTACGAATTCAAAACATTTTTTTTTTGTTTCTCACACATTCTCAACCAATTCATCAATATTTCAACAGATCGGTGTGCAAATTGTTGTTCATTCAGAGAAGAGAGAAAAAGAAAAAAAAATCCCCAATTACGTGGTCCGCTTTATTTGGCCATTGTCAAAAGTGGATCAACGCAAACAATGCGGCATAAACACAGATTGTGGGCCCGACTTTAAATGGTCGTATTAATTGCACGAGTGCGTTAATAGATTTCGTAATTGGAACAGCTGCTGTGTGTGATCGATCGAACAACGACAGCGACAACGTCAACAGCCACAGCCACAGCAGCAACAGCCAATTTTCATTATTTTGAAGCCGATACGGCTTCTATGTACCGTGTTCCCTGCAGCAAAACTCCGCAATTCATCGTTTTCTATGCAACGTGATGTGACCATGTACTAATTTAGCTGCATATTGGGTTTGCTGAGCCTATGCTTTTCCACTGTAAAACACAACCAATCGTCGTAGCATTGTGCAAACTGGGTTGTGATGTACATGTGATGCGCCGTGCATCATACTTCAATGAGCTACACTTCGCCGCAACATTCATGCAATTTATCGTTATTCCAATTTTCAATTAAAAGGAATGCATTTTTTATGTTCACATCTTTGTTGGACAAATCCACCAACAACGGCAACACATGAATTCGACGAATTTTTTTTTCCATTTTTTTCATTGCTTCAAGGAAAAACTTTGTACCGATGGCATTTTTTCTAACTTGTGGATTCTGATTTTATTTTTCACAGCCATGCCATGACATCAGTAGCAACAACAGTAACAAATCTTTGTTGCAAGTCATGAATTCAGCGTTAAAAAAGCATCTCTTGAGAAGATGTGCTCAGTGCAAAACTTGTCACGTTGACACAATTGATCGACCTGATTGAACACGGCCGCTAGAAGAGGGTTTTTTTTCTCTCTTGGAACAAGAGAAAGACTTTTCAAGAAAGAATTTTCTTAAATGGAATTTGTCAACTCGCGATACATTTCATGCCTTAACCACACACGACTTTGAAATAATTCAAATGCATCTTCTTTTCCGTTCACGTACCAATGTTTTACATTGGAAAACATAAAACATTTTTAAGGTGAGTCAATTTGCCATCGCGTAAGTAATTTGAACTGAAAAAGGCATCGTTATCAAATGCGCAACAGCGACGGCAACAACAAACAACCACATAAACCATAAACATTTCCTCGCCAAAGCCAATTGAATGTGGTGTGACTCAGACCGACATTAAACGGAATGAATACGTCAATGCTATACGGAATTGATAATGGAAATGCTCTCCGGAGTGCATTGACACGGAAACAATTTTCAATTGATACTCGAGTCTCTCGATCCAAACCAATAATAAATCGTACGTTGCTTCATATGGTTTTCGGTTTACGGTCGTTGCAAACCATAATAATCATAATATGATTTTATGCATTCTCACCGAAAGCCATTTCTTGACCCGGGAGGGCGGTTATTCATTGTTCATTCCCAAACGCTGTTGGCGCATCCAATGGGAATCTCATAAATATTCGATAAAATTGAATTATTGCCGCCGAAATGGCGTTTTTTCCCATTTTCCAAATCCTATTTTCAGTTCATTCTCGATAAAATGGAAGGAAAAGCGACAATTTCAATTTCATGTTCAGTTTTTTTTCACTTACTCTCTTGACATTTTTTTCCATTTCTCTTGATAATTTTTATGATGCCCTTAAAGTTTGTCGTCTGTTACGTCGTACATATTTTGTCGTTATTATTATTTGCCATAACTCATCTTTTTGCTGCCAAGTTTCTCAATTAAATTTCGAAATGACAAAACAATAATGAATAATATTCATTATCATGTTTGGCATTGAAACCGCTAGGCGTCTGTGTAATGAAACAGTAGAGAAAAAAACCAACACAGCGAGCCTAACAAACAAACGAACGAATGAACACGTAAACAATGTAAATAGCAGCGGGCAGAGGAAAAAAATATATATATTTATTGTAAACAGTGCACCGTGCCGCAAACACACCCGTCTGGAGTCTCCGAAAGTCGCTGTTTCTAAATTGCCTCAACTCTTTTGAACAATAGAAATGTGAAACCTCGTGTATTTTTCCGATTTCTAGAATGAAATCTCTCTCTCTCTCTCTCTGTCTCTGAGAGGAAAAAAAACACATCTACACACATATACTGCACATTGTAAAGATGTAAGGAGTTATGAGGCTGTTAAGCGAATATAAATTGAAAATGGCTAGTCGCCCAGCTTACGGAACGTAAACATTGCTAATGCACAAAACCCACAAAATAGTATTAAGCAATGGCGTGTTACTTTTTTTCTCAACTCTTTCGCTGGAATTTCACCATTTACACACAAACAATTTTTGGTCGTCATGCATGTGTTGATATTTGCTTGTGAGAAATGGCCATAACAAATCACAGCGATAATGTCACAAGCAACGGGAACCATACAAGCGCTAGATGCTTTTAAAACTGTTGAGACTTTTTTTTTGTTTGATTGAGAACGTGTTTTTTGTTTGAAATTGGCAGCGAGCCGTGATGCACAAATGCATGTCAAGACGCTGTTGCCTTTGAAATATTCATTAACAACTCATTCGTCGTGTGTTGAAATGTGCCATTTTCATTAAAGTTAAAACGCATTTTCGATCAAATACAAAATCTAAATGCGAAAAAACAAAATAAATTCAACGATAAAATGCAGAAATCAACTCAATAAAAAAGTGTGTAAAACAGCATGGATTTCATTTGCCACAGAAAAACATATCAATAAAATTATGACGTTCTGAGAAGATAGTCTGTAGCGTGTGTATTGAGACAAAAAGCGAGAACCTGATTTGTCAATTTTAATTTACATAGGAATCAGCCGCAGAAAAAAACCGGTAGTTTTGCGCTGGCAGAAAGAAACAGATGAGAGTGGAAAAAAAGGTAAGCGAATCTTGTCGATGTAGCTCGGTGAAACGAAACAAAACCGAATTGCTGACTGCACTCGAGAGCGTTTGTAAGAGCTGCAGGCTAGAGAACAGCCACTTGGAGTCGAGTACTTTCGATCGACGTGCGGCACTTTGCCGACCCGCTAAACTTTTGCAATGACAATTATTACGATACAAAGTCGTTTTCTCGAAAAACGGTCGCAGATGCTGGTTGAGGCGAGTTACTAACAAGTGCTGGTTGGAATTCGCCTTTAATGTACCCGTTTTTCATTTTTGTGACCGTTCTTGTCGACATTATGCCTTTACCATAAATTCTCTGTCCCGCTTGATATTCGCTCTCGCTTCGTACATGCCGTATGGCTGTGTGCACTGTGCAGTGTACACACCGAGAGCACACCTTGTCCTATGATTTATGTTTCACATGCGATTTACACGCAGTCAGTGTGCATTCGACAAAACAAGCATTTATACTAATTGTAGCGTCGTCGTCGTTGTCGTCATTTTGTATAGTACTTGTGTGTATGTTCCACCATCCGAATGTGCCATTGCGATGCCAGTACCATCGTTTAATTTATCATTTAATAATATCGTACATATAATCACCGATTCGTGCGAATCCAGTGTTGTTCGGCAAATAAGCAAAATTCATTTTATAGAGAGATAGGTTGCTATTTACGGTGAAACGATGGCGTGCATGGAATATGATTAGAATTTCGTATCCATTTGCCATATATGTTTGTGATGTTTTTTTTTATTTTGCGCGCAAATCGATGTTATAATCGCATATTGCGTCTCTCTGATCGCCAATTTTCTCAATTAAATACAAAACACAGCAACAGTAGACCAAAAAAAGCCGCCAAGATTTAGCCGCGGTGCGCTTGGAAAGGGAAAATTGTTACACGATTTAAGTTAAACAAAACTACTGATGTCTGGCTGGAACTAAACACTTTGATTGACGATTTACAGCGCAATGAGTATGTGAGTTTTTTGTTTTCATTCATCTCACTCCCTCCAGAATAGCGTGACACCAAAGTCGATTTTTTATATGTGTTTGTGTTTGTTTTTTTCTCGTTCGTTCGCGTAATTTATTGCTGAAAACGTCTAGCGATTTATTTAATTGTGTATTGATCAGATAATTCGATTGTATTTCATGACCACATTTAACATTTCCTCTATCGAATTGTTGTTTCAAATAATCACAAGACCCTGATCGCCAATCTCTCTCTCTCTCTCTCTCTCTCTCTCTCTCTCTCTCGCTGGATATATCCAATAAGACATAATTACAGTGTTGGTTTGCAAATTTGTGAAATGAACTATGATTTTGGGAAATGATGCGAAATTTGCAACAAAATTACGAAATCAAATCAACCGTTTGGATCTGTAATTTGGGCTGAAGAGAGTATCAAATCGAAAGTCTTTCACTTCATACGGAATGGTAAATGTCATGAATATGAAGAAAAAAAACTATAGCGCTTAGCGCCCGAAACAAAGAAATGAACAGTTTCGGCGGCCTTTTTACCAACAGCACTTTTCAGAGAAATCAGCAATGAATACGAAAACCAACGAAACGAATGGACGAAAGAAAAAAACAAAACCTTGCTCTTGACCAATGGAATACAATGAACGCTCGCGCGATCGAGTAAACTAAAAACGCACCTCGCGGCGACTGTAATTAATGTTTTCCATTCACAGTATAGACCATGGATCAAAGAGCTGAAGCACACGCTCGCGTTCAGCTGCTATATATTCAAATTCATTTTTTTTTGCGCCGAACCGTTTATGAAGAGCATATCGCAATGCCATGATCGAAGCACAACCAGCAAACCAACAGATAAGGATCATAAATGGAAATGAATCCATCAACGAATTTAAACACAATCGACTAATAAAGATACGATGGAAGAAAACGGAGGAAAAATTAAATGAATTGCCTTGTTTATGGAAGAAGAAGAAGAAGAAGAAGAAAAAGAAAAAATATGTGTGCGACTTTCATCATGAACTTCAGAGACGCATTCACAATAAGGTAAAATGTATTTATTGTAATTAAATTGTGTCACTTATGAGCGAAACAAAGCCATTTTCATTTATTAAAAAAAAGAGAAAAAACGACACACACACAAAAAAGGTTTCAGAAATCAAAAGAGAGAAAAACAACATAAAGATAAATTATTAGTACAGGTCGATAAACATCGTCGCCACATTTAAGCGTCGCAAGTAGAAAGATTGACGAAAAAAGGGGAGGCATGTGCGTTGTGCATGTGTGTGTATGGAGAGAATCGTCAAAGATAAACGATGCAAAATGCAAAGTATTCCGTGAATGACCATTTTCGGATGGTTCATTCGTTTGGTCGCTTTCAACTCAATTTCAATATAAGTGCCTTTGATAAACATCCGGCTATTCACAACGGACACACGATCATACCAATTTCACTTGCCTTCCAAACAACGAGCGACAGAACAATCACCGTACAAGTAAACCCGTTTAATTTTTTCAATTAACCATTTTCAATCAATAGTCGCACAGTTTTTTTGTTCATTCAATCATAAGCATTTCATTTCAATTGATTTGTTTTTGATTTTCACTCGGAATATAAACAACTTCTCTTTTGTGTGTGAAAGACGTTGCAACTTTCGATGTGGCGGCGTTATTGATTGAATCAACTTAAATGCAAACACCGTCTGAAATGAATTGGCCGTGTTAAATGCGATAAATTCCACTGAATGCCAAATACCAAGAAAGTTCATATTTCAACCGAAACAGCGTAATGTGAGTAAGCATAAGAATTCACAATGTAGCCGAAAACGGAGAGAAGAAGAAGTGAAAAAAAAACACAACCCAAGAGAGTCATAATAATCCATAAGAAAAACGGAGAGTGGTTATGGCATCGCTTTCTGCATCATAAAAACAAAAGTAATTCACAATTCGCGTTCAGCTTCTTGGCCGTTTCCATAATATCATTTACTATTGTTGTTCTCGATTGTTCAAATCCGTTGGTCGGTCGGTGAGCAGTGCAAATGGTTTGCTTGAAGAGTAAAGTGAGTGAAAAATGCAAAAGTTGAAAGGCAACTTGTATTCATTGGTCTATTATGATGAATTGATGTTTTGGAACATAAGCGAAGAAGAAGAGAAAAATGGAAAAAGTCACGAAGTCTCGGCACGGATCATAGTTATAAATCGATATAAACGGCATTCAACACACACACACACATTTAACAAATTGACTACACTTTTGAAACAATCTCCCATAACAATAGTTGCAAGGAAATTTCTTTCCATTTTTGTCAAACTCAATCCATTTTCCCTTTGAAATCCATTCGCATCGATTGACTCTACACTAGAGACCGAAGAAAAATCGGAGACGATGATGGATTTAATTACCCGTCGATAAAAATTAATGAACATTTTACAAGAAACGATGTTGAACACCACTTCACTAGCACAAAATGAGAATTGCTTGTTATGTGCACGCGAATGTAATGAGAAAACAACGCGTTATCTAATTAAAACGACGTCAACATTCAAATGACAATGGCTTTACAATCAAATCCAACGTCTTATGACAATCGCATGAAAATTGATCTTTTAACTGTTTGTCGAAGTAATGGCGCGCGTTTGCGCGCACAGCTAATAACAGTTGTTAGACTTCGAAAATCGATGAGGCTTTTTTACATGTTTGCTGTGATTTGTTTTGTTTTTTTTCGCAAGCTGGGCAGATCGCTGTCACGAGAGGTTTCTCGCAAAGTAGGCGAGCATACCTTTCATTGGACGACCTTTACCCATCGAAAAATTCATGCTTAGTATCATTGCTGTGGCTTACACCGTTGCAATGATGGCATCTAAGCCGAGCTAAGCATTACCAAAGCTCTATTATTTTCCTTACTCATTAGTTTAAGGCACGAATTGACGTTGCACAACGAACTGACTCTTGTAACATTCACGCGTACGTTGCACCAGCGAATTATAAAATGGCACATGGTTAAATAAACGGTTTGGTCTCCGTGTACACGGTGTATTGAAGAGACTATGGCAAATGGTTTATGCAGGAGATTTTCCATTTACATTTTGGTCGTATCACAATTTTATGCATTTATCGTATCTTCATTTCATGCTAGTGCCATTGTAAAACGGAACCTAATCCATCATCCTGAATAAACTATGAGGATGAAAAATAAATGATGAAAACAGTTGAAAATATTACAAAAATGTGTTGTTGGCACAACTTTTCTACAGCAAATATGAATGAATAGTTTCGAGAGCGCACCGTAAAAATGGCAACACATTCAGTGACAGTGGCTCGATATAACTATAAATTATTGATGTCAACGGCAAAATGTGTCGTGGTCGTGAGAAAAATAAGCACCACATTTTGCCCGTTCCTTGTTCTTGATATTGATTTTTCACATGTCATTTTTTTTCCATGTTCGATTGATTTTTTATGGAGCGACAAAAAATTCCATTTTGCTATCGTATGACAATGGCACAACGAACAAGGCGGCAGAAAGTATTTTTTTTTACAGAAAACTAGTCAATAAACATTTTACATCGCAAGAGAAAGAGACAGAGAACATGTTGTGGTGCCATTCTTGTAAGCGGTGAGAGTGTATATGATGCCAAGTCCAAGAGAGAAAAATTCAAAATAATTGCCAACTTTGGCATGACATGGAGAAAGATAGTAAAAGAACAAATAAACAAAGTTGAAAATGAAATAGAAAGAAAGAAGGAAAGAAAGAAGAAAAGACGAGAAAAAAACCCAACGGCTTCGGAAATGTGAACGTTTTTCACTGTCGATCGTGTCAAACGTATTATCATTTAAATTACAAATGATGATATTGTGTGTCGTTGAATCCATGAGCCATGTCGTTGTTCTCTCTCTCTCCCTCTGTCTCTCTCTATGGCAACGCAATGTATGCAGCCAGCAAGTGTCGTTCATCGTTTACCAAATGGTTCGAAAAATGAAATGGCTATGCAGTTGGTGACTTTATGTCTTCGCTGCATAAATAACCATTATAAATGGTTTCGGCTTAGTTTTCAGTTTCAAGTAACTTGAATTGGTTTTGCTTTTGAATTGATTCATACAGCCAACAAAGAGAAAATCCACTTAATTTTATTTAGCATGCGCTTCACCTTTGCAACCATTTCGAAATTGTTGCTGTTTCTCGCACTCTTGTTCTCTCTCTCTGTCTCTGGCGCTTGTTTTTCTCACCATCGTTCAAACGAGGGAAAGGTGTCACTTCTAATGCCCTTAATGATAAGATAATGATGAAAAATGCATCGTCGTTTGTAACTAATAAGCGCTGCACCGTGTGTCAAATGGAGGCCTATGCATCCGTGATATTTTAATCACCCACTTGAGATGGTTGTTTTATTTTTGCCGTGCATTTTCTGTCAACAAGAGATTTCCCTTTAAACGGAACACGGTCTTAATTGAACGATTGCTCTTACAAACTGTTCAACGAGTGCAGTCTAAATATTTAGATTGTTAATAATACTTATCGCATTATTTCACAGAAATGCATATCACCCGAATCGGTTTCACTCGCAATCAAACTGTCAATAAAATTTGATGAATTTGTTTATTTTCGTACTTAAACCAAACCAACTCGTCTGTTTGTTTTATTTTGTGAGTCATTTGTAAACACCTTTCCCTTCACGACTCCGTTGTTTTTCTTTGTCAGCTTAAAGATAATCGTATGCCTACTCGTTAATTTGATGGGCCTCACATTTATCACCAACTTAATTGTAGAACATGAATTACACTCTTGGCACGTTTATTGTTCTCTGAACTCATTCCATTGATTTCGACTATGTTTTTGTTTTCTAGTTTCAAACGCATTGACAATAATCTTAACTCAAAGTTTTAGTTCAACACTCTTTCACACGCGAAGCCGATAAAAATGAACGCACGAGTTTAATTGGAGTTTTTTTTTATGATTCTGCCCTTGCCTGTGGCAAACTGGATTGGAAAGCGAATGTAATCTACACACAATCTGTCAAAGACCCAAAGAATTAGAACGATATTTCAACGCTCAAACGAACTCTCAATGACAAGCTTAATTCGCACTGTGCTAAATAGAAAATGCGTTTATCAAACTTTGACACCGACAAACTAAACTCGGCACCAGACTCAAACACACATTTCAATTCACATCAACAATATTGACAAACGACATTTGAAAAAAAAACACGTCGAAATATCGCCGTACTAACGAATGAATCACGAAAACCAGTTTTGAACCACGGTTCGATATTACCATAGGATTGTCAATATCAAATGTTATGTGAAACTCAAGACAAGATTTGAATTAAACGTTGAAATCCAGTAGCTGATGTCTGATTTGAAGCAGCAGCAGCAACAGCGGCAACGGCCCCATTGTTTAGTTGATTGTTTTCGCTCGTTGCTGACGAGTTTATTTGGTTTTTTCAATTCAATCCGAATCCGATCAAAATGAGTGTGTGTGTGTGTATTCCGCTCGGCTTAAGTTTCGTGAGTCAATAAACTAAACCGTCAATTGCTGCTGGCGTTTGGTTTCACTCAATCAATTTTTGTATCTGTAGTGGTTTCAGTGCATTCGAAGTTGGAATTTCCAACATTAGTTGGTTAGGCAGAGAATATCTAACCGAAAAAGCCAATTTTTCTGGATTTATTTCCATTGGCTTAGATTCATATGATATATATTTTGTTTTCGTTTGACCGCATTTAGAATGAATGTGGAAACAATTAGGCAAGATGAATGCGTTTCGGCGTTGTATTTCGATTGTCATCGAATGGCATTTTTTCGTTGGGAGGAATGTCTTATGCTACACAACCAAAACGAAACGAGTAGCGCGCGCACTCGCTTGATTAATCGTCAAATACAAAATCAAATGCGGAAAGTGAGAGGCGAGATATAGAATAAAACCGACAAATTGCCATCATGGCAATGCCATGCAGTATATACCAACGCAATATCACAGCAAAACACAACGCATTGTTCTGAATTGTCAATTGAATGGGATTGTTCAAAACAAAAGGCGATAAGATTGCATTCACCGAACGTCTGCAGAACATGAAGAAATCGAGAATAAAGCATGAGAATTCATGCAAAAATACCGCATTGAATCCAATAGTCGACCGAATGGAACATGGCTCATTTAATTCATCTGAAAAATCAGTGATGAATAACGAATGAGCTTCTTGAGTGTGTGCTTCGCTTTGCTTCGACGAAAGTAAAAATTGCAATGCAAAACACTCTATGAATTACAATGGAGAGAAGTGAAAAAACCATAGGCAAAAATGGAAAAAACATCGGCAAATGAGGGAATAAAAAACTGAAAGTTGTTGACATCCAATCAAGCGGCAAAATTTAATTTCGTTTCATTTCTCAATGTTCTCAGAGTAATACAACTATTTCCGTCTTAGAATAACTTAATTTTTCTGTGGAAACAACGATGATTAAATTCAAATCACTGTCGGCGGCAATTTATTCAACATTTCGTTGAATATTCCGAACACAAATTTGGCTTTTTCAACGTTTTAATTCTTTTTCCTTTGAAAAAATCTCTTCGTCACAAATTCATGGCGCCGAAAACCGTTTCAAGATCATATACCGGTATTGAACCTGAGCAAAGCGCAGATATAACATTGGTGATAAGAACGAAAATTTCATATATCCGTTGCGATTCACCTCGCGGTTGGCCGTTACAAATGCGACATGATTCGTATTTACGTCGTCGTCAATGATGATGTCAGGGTTTTTATGGTGTCGTTTTGCAAGCTCATGTTTATGGATTGGGATATTCTGCCATGCGAATCAATGCGCTAGCTATCGTTCATTCTAACCAAGCGATCGGCCAACCGGCAAAGTGGAATTACTGGATTAGATCGTTTCATTTTTGCCGATAATTGCCTGTTAATTAATACTGCCCAAGGCACTTACTATTTTATTATAACAACGGTGCGGTGCGGCAATTTCAGTGTCAGAAACAATTAAACTTCCATTTACGAGCGGAAGAAAAAGCAGCAACAGAAAACTAAATTGTTAAGTCAACGAAACGTGCCACATTGCAGATGAAACAACTCTTTTCATCTTTGTTCTTTCTTTTTTCTCTATTTTACGGACCGTAAGATGCTACATTTTGGCAAATGTTTTCACTTATTTTTTTGACGGTAATTTATGCGAATGTGGTTCAACTCATTACATGTGTCTCTTTTTGTGTTTTTTTTGCGCTTTTTTTGCTTTTGTATCTTCGATGGCAACAGAATCGTAATTCGACCAACATCTTCGAACAAAAAAGTACACAATATAAATCGCGTCAATATACACTCGATATGTGTCATCGTTTACATGGGTGCGTGAACTGAAATATCTTCGTCAAAACAAAGAACGTTGAATGGACGTAAAAATAAGTTTTAATTTAAAAAGAATGAACTGTTTTATTTGCAAATGTCAACAGCCGGAGAAAAAAAAGAACTCCAAAATGAGCGAGCACAATGGCACACATTCACGACACCGTAATTACATGATTGTCAAATGTAAATAAACTGTTTTGTGTCTCGGTGTGTTGACAAATTGTCAGCGTAGACTATTTCATATGGGCTGCGATAGACTAGGTGTGTTTTTTGGATGCAAGCCACCGAAACAAATATGAACGCGTGAGAGTAAAAGACTGACGTTAGCAGGTTTCTCGCAAAAGCGGGATAACAATCAGTTGCACGCAAAAGAGACATTTCAAAAGGTTACACGCAACGGAACATTTTATTTTGTCGCATTTTGAATTTTAAAGCCGTGATTACAACAACAACATACTTCTCTCTTGCGTGAAACCTTTTGAAATGTCTCTTTTGCGTGCAACTGATTTTTATCCCGCTTTTGCGAAAAACCTGGTAGCGTCAGTCTTTTATTCTCACGCGTTCATAT